AGTCCAGGAAACATCTGAGTGGCTCTGCTCACCCCTTGCCTCAAGTTGTCTAAATGCAGGAATTCAGATGAGATGCTCTTCACTGCATGCTACTGCCCTTGGAGGCAGTGCTTCCTCCCCAACCCCAAGTCAGTCACATAAATTTTTAAAATGGCTTTTATTGAAAAAATTAAATTACATGAAAAGAAATGCAAAAATCAGCAAAAATGTGTACCATCCATTTGTGTTGTCATCATTTTATGGACAAAGCAGATGGTTTATTGTTCTTGTCTGAAAGACAGCATGTTCAATGTTGCTGAGACTTACCTTTTCCAAACATTTGTTGGCAAGAAAAATTAACTTAAGTTTCAGTAATCTCTGGAGCTCGTGTTAAGATTTTTCTCCTCTTCAGGGAGCTCTGTGGTGTAATTGGCTCACCCAAAGGCAGTGCCTCATACTGGTTCACAGCCAGCAGCGGCTCCAGGAGAGAAAGATGAGCAATCTGCTCCCGAGTGATTTACAGTTTTGGAAGCCCCGCTCAAGAAGCAGCTGGGAGCTTGTTCTGAGTCCAGAGTGATGGGGTGAGTTGTTAACAGCCAGCCCTCGGTGGGTCTCCTTTGGCCCAATACATGAGTGATCACAGCTTCCCTAAGAGAACACCATGATTCCATGATTACGGAGGTGCCATAGGATCAGAAAACGTTTTGTTCTATCATACGTAGCATTGTCATGAGTTGGAGTTCATTTGATAGCAACTAACAACGACAATTCTGGATATAAGAGAGACTGTGTTTTCTACCATGCTTCTTTTTCTAAAAGCTATATCCATTCTTCTGCCACTGTAGCCATTGAAAATGGCCTTGACGGCCGTGCACTACCCTGGGGTCATGCACCACAAAAACGTCCACAATAGGACCAAAAATACGAGCAAGTTGAGGCCGCCATCATGGGAGCCTCATGGGCATGCCACGCCAAGTTCCTCCAGGCCATGGTTCTGGAGATGTGTGGCTTTGTGCCCCAGGAGGGATGTATCCCATGGCTGCTTGAAATCTCCACATTCATGCAGGCCTTCAAGTTCCACAATGTAAGGGAGAGAACACGCTCTCCACACCAAGAAAACCAAGAGGGACTGAGCAATGTCCTGGCCACACCAAGAAGAGCTGAACATGTCCCTGTTTGCTGTGCCATTCAAATAATAAAATAAGCCAAAGCTAATCCACTGGCATTGAATTCATTCTGCCTCACAGTGATTCCATACAGTTTATGAGGTTATAAATATTTATGGAAGAAGACTGCCTGTATTTCTCCCTCCAAACAGCTAAAGGATTGAAGAATTGATTTTGAGATTAGCAATCTAGCATGACATGTCATGCTATACCAGTGGGGCTCCTTAAAAGAATAAAACATATATTCCTTTTAAGCAGTTCTTTCCCTCATCTGTTTCCATGCAGTGTATACATTACTGTACAATGGAAAAAAAAATTATTTTTTCCCAAAGAGAAAAGTGAACTAGGGGTGGAGGGAGAAAGGGAGAAAAACTTGCAACCATGAATGAATGGAAATCCAAGTTCTATATTTTATTAAAATCTCAATTAAAAAAAGAATAAAACATTGCAGGGATTGGAGGAGAAAGGAGGCAATTGCCTTTATAAAAAAGCCCACAAAAGCCAAGTCTCATTGCAAACAAGTTAGAACCAATTCATAGTTGACTCTCCAGCAAGTTTCCAGAGCAAACAAATTGCACGGGAGATTTCTCATCTTTCTCATGTGGAGAATCTGGTGAATTCAAAACACCCACCTTTAGGTTGGCAGTGCAATTCTCTGCCAACTAGACCACCCGTGCTCCCTATTTTCTTTAGCAGAGCGAATATATACAGTAAACCCCGTGAAAGCCAGAAACTGCCAAGGTAAGAACTTGTCCTCTAATCCCACTGCCACTGAGTAGAATTCAACTCATCAGGAAAGGTGTCAGAGAAGGAAAATTCAAATATTTTCCAATTAAAATGAGTGATGGAAGATTGGTAAGACTATACAAGAAATACAAGCCATCTTATTTAAAAGTCACAAAAAAAGTCACACTGTGATTGTTATTTATGTCCTATATAGTCATGAAATAAAAACAACATTTTATAGTGAAATTTTTAAACACACTTCAAGCAAGTTCTACTTAGTCATCTTGAACTGTTCCCTCTCCTCTATCAATCACGGTTGTTTCCATTATTGCAGCAGTTACTGTGAGTCACAGAAGTCCTCCAAAGTAGGCTGAGAGACAGCTCTGAACAGTCCTTGGAATTTCCGGACTAACCCCAAGGCTTTTTCCAGTCTAGTGTAATTTATGAGCTCCGGTGATCTAGTGAGTGGGCAGGGAGTTGTGCTGCCAGACCAAAGACCAGCAGTTCGAAGCCACCAGCTGCTCCCGGGAGAAAGGTGGGCAAGTTCTCCCTGCATGATTTGTTGTGCTTATGTGCTGCCAAGTCAGAATCAACTTCTAGCTGATCCTCCAGTGGGTTTTCAGAGGCTGTAAATCACAGAGCAGATTGCCCGTTCTTCTCCTGCAAAGCAGATGGTTTGAAGCACCTGCCTTTGAATTGGCAGTCCCACTTCTTACCACTTGGCCATCAGAGCTCCCTCCTGTATGATTTATATACTCTGAAAAACTGCTGGAGGTTCAGACTCAATGCAGTGAGTTCTGTTTATGGTCCTCAATCTTGTAGGGCCAGCTACATTTCTACTGCAATGCTAGGTAGGGACTCAATTTATTTTCGACCTTCATTTGCCAAAGGAATAGAATTTCTAAGGCATTTTTGTTGGCTTATGGAGATTAGGGAATGTTGTTTCTATAGACTATTCGAAATTAGGATTATCAAGGAAAACAGGCTTCTTTCTGTTTCTTCTAGGGAAGATTGCTCTAAGATTATTTTTCTTTTCCTCAACAACTCCCTTGCAAATGAGCTTGGATCGTAAAAATAATAGTATTTGTCTTATATAGTAACCCGCATCCCCACCCCCCAGGCTATATATTTAGCTTCTAGATGAGCCTTTTCATTCTCAGGTCCAAAGAAGCATATAGATGATAGTATGGCTGGGTATTTAAAGCCCTCATAAGCCATGTTCTAGACCATACTAGAAATTTTTTAGCTAACACATCTGTGTATTTTAGCTAATACAGCTGTGGTGCTGGAGAAGAGTGTTGCATATACCGTGGACTGCTAGGAGAACAAACAGGTTTGTCCAGGAGAGAGTGAAGCCAGAATGCTCCCTGGAGTCAAGGATTCTGAAGCTTTGTCTGACATACTTTGGGCGTGTTGCAAGGAGGGACGGGTCCTTTGTGAGGGACATCATGTTTGGGAGAGTGGAGGGATGGCTCAGGAGAGGAAGACCCTCAATGAGATGGATCGATTCTGTGAGTGGAGTGGTGGGAATGAATGTGTTTGAGACAGCGAGGTTGACACAGGATAGAACGGCGTTTAGGGCTCTTGTACATAGGGTCGCTATGAGTCACAAATGACTTGATGGCACATAACTACAACAATAACAACAACACAACTGTAGGAAACTCTGGCTGTTTAGTAGGTAAGGAGTTGTGCTGCTTACATAGAAGGTTGTTTTGAATACTTCTGTAGCTCTTCTTCAGAGCTGTCTTTCAGGCAGTTATCAACTACTATTCATACCCACCTACAAATTAGGCCTTGTTTAGGCATCCTTTTTATAATTGAGGAAATTGAGGCATAGGAACATCTTTACCAAATTATACAGCTGGTAAGTGACAGATCATGAATCTTCTATAGGTAATCTGGGAACAGATTTAGAGATTTTAGACAGGAAAATTTCAGCCTTTGGAACTACCTACACAGCTTATGTCTGAATCTGGGCTCTGCTCTCATGTGGCCATGTGACTGTGGGAAATTACTCTGAACCTCAGTTACATCATCTGTTAGATGGGAAGGATCTTCTAAAAGTAGAGATATTCCACTCCAGGCACCTGAGGTAATTAATAAAGGAAACACACTAACATCTCCAATCTTGCTTTTGTTTTCTACACACACACAGCCTTTACCTAACTCACCACAATTCATAATCAAGGTTGGAAAATATACTTTACCTCCACTCCAATCTTCCCCTGTAGTAAGGGCATTAAGGTAGGTGAGTATATGTAAGCAAGCTTACATGCTAGAGAAACAGGGAGAAAAGGCACATAACCCAGCGGTGTGGGTTTGGGAAAGGCTTTATGAGGTAGGCAATGGGCAAGAGCATTCTAGCAAAGAACAGGGTGAGCACAGATAGAGGTTCTCTGGTGTCTGCATCTGCAGGGATTCAGAAAAAGGGAGGGAGGGAGTGGGGATGTGGTCATGGTTTTACTGTTAAAATGAATTAAAATAAAATGAAGTTTAAAATTTTCTTCTTAATTTTCACGAGCCACATTTCAAGTGGTCAATAGCTACGCATGGCTAGCAGCTGTTCTATTAGAGCAGAATGGACCATGTCCATGAGCTTGGAAGCCTTCCGGACAGTGCTGGTCTATCTAACTCACGCAGGGCCTTGCAGGCCACAGTCGACTTAAAAACAGTAGAGAACATGCTCATTCAAACACAGTCAGCCTCAGAACAGTGACCCTGCCCTCAACCTCACATGAAAACAAACAGCATTGTTACAGTTGTCATAGCTTTATTGAATGAAGGAGACAATCTCTGCTGAAATGCTTCAAAGTGAACTGGTGGTTTTGTTGCAAAATTATACACTGGTCAATAAAAAAAAATGAAGCATCATTTGACTACTCCATTCTATACCCATACTTAGAGATAAAGTGATTCATTTACACCCAGAGAATTAATCACACATGAATTTTCCTGCAGAGAAATCTTTGTCAACTCTAACTTCATTTTTTTAAAAATCATGATTTTTTTTTTGTGATCTCTTCCAGAATAACATTAGTGTTATAAGAGTTGTGTGTAAGGATACATCCAGGTACCAGGAACAGCTGAGAGAGGAGGAGCCCTGCTAGGCTTGGCACACATCACATCCTAAAGCTTTGAGACTGTTGGTGGGTCCCTGACATCCGTGTTCAGCCATTCAATGAGGATCTGATTTACCTCAGCTGGTCTGAAAAAGAAACAAAAGACAATTCAAACTTGTCTGGATTCACTTACCCTGTGTGAAGGCTGAGGTGGGGTGTGTGAATTGAAGGGCTAATGAGATAAAATTAAAGCAGGAGAGTTTTTATTGAGAGTGAAGAATTCTGCCCTTCCCCATCCAGGGGCCCAGATTCTCCTTACTTGTCCATCTGTGTCCAGTGTCCACAATTCTTAATGTGTCCCCTTTTCAGGTGGGGGATCTGAAAGAAAACCCCACAAGAATTGTAAGTGGTCCTTCACCAAAGAAGACATTCAGATGACTAACAAGCATATGAAGAAATGTTCAAAATCTCGAGCTCTAAGAGACATGCAAATTAAAACAACTATGAGATATCACCTCACCCCAGTC